TCTACTACAGTCTGGTCTGGTACGGCCTGGTATGGTCTGGTATGGTCTAGTACAGTCTGGTCTGGTACGGTCTGGTACGGTGTGCTACGGTGTGGTACGGTCTAGTATGGTGTGGTACGGCCTGGTCTGGTACGGTCTGGTGCGGTCTAGTACGGTCTAGTATTATCTGGTCTGGTACGGTGTGGTAGGGTCTGGTGCATTCTAGTATGGTCTGGTCTGGTATGGTCTGGTACGGTGTGGTATGGTCTGGCGCGGTCTAGTATGGTCTGATACGGTGTTGTACAGTCTGGTGCGGTCTAGTACTGTCTAGTACAGTTTGGTCTGGTGCGGTGTGTTATTGTCTGGTTCTAGACTGATACAGTCTGGTATCGTCTGGTCTGGATGTTCTGGTCTGGACGTTCTGGTACGGTCTGGTCTGGTATGATCTGGTACGGACTGGTCTGGTATGGTCTGGTCTGGTATGGTCTGGTACGATCTGGTACAGTCTGGTCTGGTACGGTCTGGTCTGGTATGGTCTGGTATGGTCTGGTACGATCTGGTACAGTCTAGTCTGGTATGGTCTGTCTGGTATGGTCTGGACGGTCTGGTACAGTCTGGTCTGGTATGGTCTGCTGCAGTCTGGTCTAGTACGGTCTGGTCTGGTATGGTCTGGTCTGGTACGGGTCTAGTCTGGTATGGTCTGGATGGTCTGGTACAGTCTGGTCTGGTACGGTCTGGTCTGGTACGGGTCTGGTCTGGTATGGTCTGGTGCAGTCTGGTCTAGTACGGTCTGGTCTGGTATGGTGTGGACGGTCTGGTACAGTCTGGTTTGGTATGATCTGGTCTGGTACGGTCTGGTCTGGTATGGTCTGGTCTGGTATGGTCTGGTGCAGTCTGGTCTAGTACGGTCTGGTCTGGTATGGTTTGGACGGTCTGGTCTGGTATGGTCTGGACGGTCTGGTACGGTCTGGTCTGGTACGGTCTGGTCTGGTACGGTCTGGTCTGGACGGTCTGGTACAGTCTGGTCTGGTACGGTCTGGTACGGTGTGGTACGGTCTAGTATGGTGTGGTACGGCCTGGTCTGGTACCGTCTGGTGCGGTCTAGTACGGTGTGGTAGGGTCTGGTGCGGTCTAGTATGGTCTGGTCTGGTACGGTCTGGTG